CCTGTTGTTGTAGTAATTTATTTGTTTAGTTCATCTTTTTTTTTTTTCTTAATGGTTAAGGGGAAGAGTCATTCCTCACACTGCTTTCAAGCTGAACTGAGCCAGTTTCATTCTGGGAAAGAAACACTATCCAGAAGAACTCACTCAGTAGCTCCGTCTATTTTTTCCAGTCAAAAGAAACTGATTTTTAGGCAGTTTTTACTTGGCCAGAAAGCAGCACTTGAATACTTGAAACTGTGTGCTCTGTTCTACTTAATGTTCTGTCAGAATGTTCTTCTTTTGTAGGCAATATGTCATGATGTAATTGTCTATCCCCCTGTCTGTTTCCAAGTTACACTGTGAAGTCTGCCACCCTTTTGAGGTGGTCATCAAAGACACAGATTGCCTGTTGTTTAACCAAGTGTCCCAAAGCATGTACCTGAAGTTATATCATTATTTTTTATTCTAAAAAGCTATGCAGCTTATATTCTGAAAACTATTAAAACATATACCACTGTTGATATAATTTGTAACTATTCTTAATGAAAGATGACAGGATTGTAAAAGGTATGCTATGGGATTGATCTCTGCTGGATTAGTAAGCTGTTAATAGTTAATGCTGTGCTAACAAGACCTCCAACTTAAATGTTGCTCTTACTACAAGGGTTGATTTCTCATTTGCATTTATGTCCATGGTAGCCTGAGCTATAATATGCTGGCTTTGCGGTAGAATGAAAAGGGTGAGTTGATGGAGCCATGCAATGGCTTGTAAAGATTCTCCTCTATAAGTGATGTCATATCTACACACATTTCATTGGCTCAAGTCCTCCATGGGGCAGGGAGTTTAATCTTCCAGTAGGATTGAGTCTGGGAGGGAAAGACACCAATACTATGACAATGCTGCAATCTATTATATCTGCCTTTGGAAGCTCCATCTTAGATAGAACTCCCAAACCGGAGTGCCCAGAGTGATTCCCTTGGCCCTGGGTTGGCTCATGAGATCAGGGACAGTAGGGATTCCAGGAAGCAGGAACCCAAGAGTGCCATTTTCAACTTGTGCTCCCAACAGGGCTTGCAGGAGTAGAGATAAATTCATCTATCATGTTAATAGTTCATATTCGTGCCATCCTGCCCATCCCCCCAGGCCTTGGCCAAATAGGTAAGTTCTGATATTTAACGAATGGACAGCAGAACACAAATGTCCTCCATTGTGTCTCAAAAATCTCACTTTGGGGCTAGGCGCGGTGGCTCACCCCTATAATCCCAACACTTTGGAAGGCAGAGGTGGGTGGAGCCCTTGAGGTCAGGAGTTTGAGACCAGCCTGGCCAATATGGTGAACCCCATCTCTACTAAAAATACAAAAAATTAGCTGGGTGTGGTAGTATGTGCCTGTAATCCCAAGCTACTGGGGAGGCTGAAGCCAGAGAACTACTTGAACCAGGAGGCAGAGGTTGCAGTGAACTGAGATCACACCACTGCACTCCAGCCTCGGTGACAGAGCAAGACTCTGAACAACAACAAAATCTCACTTTGGACAACTTAACCACTCCCGTAGCCTCAACCATCATTGAAGCTAAAAGACTAAAATTCTCCAACCAGGGGTCCAGGAAGTCTACTCTTTGGTATTCTCAATTATATTCAGACATCTGTTGGAGCTACATTTAGGCAATAGACTCTTCAAAGACACACATTCAAAAATGTCACTCTGTTCTAATTCTCCTATCCCAAACGTTCCTTCAACATTCCCCATATGCAGTGACTACTCCAACAAGCACCCTGTTCACAAACTTGGAGCTTAACCTATACATCTGCTTTACTTCCTTCTCCATTTCTATCCATACCCCAATCAAATTAATCATCTTGTCCAGTCTGACTTCAGGACATCCTATCCTATTCCGCACCCCCTCCTGCCCGCCCCCATTCCATTGTGACTGGGGCTCTTTTAATCTCTAGCAGGGACTCCTTCAGTGGTATCCTGACCAGTAACTTGTTTTTGCTTGCTTCGCTTCATCCTACATACAACATCCAAGATCTTTCTAAAAGTTCTCTAGCTGAAAATCCCTTCAGAGCTCCCCGTTGTAAAGAGGGTAATACTCAAGCTTCTTCACGTGACCTATGAGGCTCTTGCCTGTCCCTTCTCTCCCAGTATCCCTGCCAGTGTTCCATGTGTTGTCTGGAATCCTCTTGTTGACTTTGCTTTTCTGGCAAATACCTAGCTCAGACAAGCCCTCCAGGAGGAATGATTTCCCACAGTATGAACCGCAACATTATTTGTTAGCACTATATTGAACTTAAGAGGTTTTCCTGCCCAAAGCGTGAGTCTGAGCAAGGAGCATATGTGACTGACGACAGCATTGCCAGTGTCATGAGTTTTTTTTGTGTTTTTTAATGGAGCTTTGCTCTTGTTGCCCAGGCTGGAGTGCAATGGTGTGATCTCCGCTCATTGCAACCTCTGTCTCCCAGGTTCAAGCAATTCTGCCTCAGCCTCCCGAATAGCTGGGACTACAGGTGTGCACCACCAGTCCCGGCTAATTTTTTGTATTTTTAGTAGAGACAGGGTTTCACCATATTGGGCAGGCTGGTCTTGAACTCCTGACCTCAGGTGATGCACCTGCCTTGGCCTCCCAAAGTGCTGGGACTACAGGCCTGAGCCAACGCACCTGGCCTGAGTGTCTCTTGATGGGAAGAAGAAATAATGTAAAAATGTGTTTTCTCACATATTAATTTATAGATTCAGCACTATTTCAAAATTCCAATCAAGATCACAAGATGATTTGGAGGGAAATTTTACAAAACATTTCTAAAGGTTATAGAGAACAATACTAACAGATTTTTTTTTAACAAGAAACAAGTTTTGCCAGATAATAAAAACATACATATAAGACAAAAATTAAAAACTCAACCCATCTAAGATGAAACAATTCTGGATTACTCAGACCCTAAATGAATTTACTATACAGCCAAAAAGACATCCATTATAAAGCCCAGAAAAAGAAGTGAATTATGTAATAAATGATACTGATACAGCTTAACATCTAGAAATTAGATCCACATGATGCTGTAAACCAAAGTAAATTCTAGATGGAGTAAATATTTTAAAAATAATGAAACTTTAAAAAATGAATTACAAAGGTCTGAATGGGAAATGAAAAGCCTCAAAAGGCACAAAAATACCTGTGATTGTATAGATAAAATTTCTGTATGTATAAAGAAATGACAAAAACAAAATATAGAGCCCATATAAAAGAATAAAAGTCCTCATCATTAACAGATCCAAGTCATGAGCAATTCACAAATCAGTATAACTAAAAATGGCGAGGGGTATTTAACTTCTCTCATACTTTTTAAAAGTTAGCAATGACATATCAATGCTAATGTATTAGACAAAGTTGGACAAATATATTACTGACAATGTGGTCATGCAGTTAGCATCATTCATACAATGCCTGGTGAAGTTCAAAAGAGCAATGATTAGAGTTCATACGTGTTCCAGGTCCTGTTCTCAGTACATTACAGGTACACAACTGAGGTAGATGCTGTTTTTCACTTTACAGGGGAGTTAACAGGCCAGGAGAGGGTAAATAGCCAGAACACAGCTAGGAAGAGGGAGTCCCAGGATGCCAACAGGCAGGCAAGCAAGTACTCAGTAAACAGCAATTGAATGAACACTTGGTACTATTTTAATTTGATACAAAACTATTTGGAAAATTAATACGGCAAAGATTTGCTAACTCCACTTTTAGTGACTTAACCTAAAGGCATGTGGTGTGTATTGTGGGAAAGATAAAACAGTTACAGGGAAAGAAAAGCAAAAGCCTGAGGCTTAGGGATGGTTATGCTCCTCCTTATGAAAAGTGCTTAAAACTGCAGTGGGGGCCAGGTGAGGTGGCTCAGGCCTGTAATCCCAGCATTTTGGGAGGCCGAGGCGGGCGGGTCATGAGGTCAGGAGTTTAAGGCCAGCTGGACCAACATGGTGAAACCCCGTCTCTAATAAAAGTACAGAAAAATTAGTCGAGTGTGGTGGCGCACGCCTGTAATCCCAGCTACTCAGGAGGCTGAGGAACGAGAATTGCTTTAACTCAGGAGACAAAAGTTGCAGTGGGCCGAGATAGTGCCACTGCACTCCAGCCTGAGTGACAGAGCAAGACTTCGTCTCAATAACAAACAAAACAAAAAACCCCGCAGTGGGGCAGCCATTCAAAGCTTTGTTTCAAAGGATCATGAAGTTCACTGCTCCGGGAAAACGCTTGTATTTGAAAAGAAGAGGACGAAAACAGAGAGAGACGCACTCCAAGGCTATTCATATTGCCAAATCTTTCCTGTCTCACCACCACAATCCCTGTCCCTCAGACAAACCTCTAGAAGCTGAGCCAACCTCTGTTCTGCTTTCTCAAGACTTGTGCCAAGTGGGATCAAATCAAGTACTGCCAAAAGAACATTCAAATACTTTTCCCCCTCTTTGCCCACACACAAAAGACTTTTTTCCAAGACAGTCTCGCTCTGTCGCCCAGGCTGGAGTGCAGTGGTGCAGTTTCGGCTCACTGCAACCTCCATGTCCCGGGTTCAAACAATTCTCCTGCCTTAGCCTCACGAGGTGCTGGGATTACAGGCGTCCGCCACCACGCCGGGCTGTTTTTTCTATTTTTTGGCAAAAACGGGGTTTCACCATGGTGGCCAGTCTGGTCTCAAACTCTTGACCTCAGGTAATCTGCCCGCCTCGGCCTCCCAAAGTGCTTGGATTTGCAGACCTGAACCGCCGCGCCCGGCCTCCTCCTCTTTCATTTGATGAACTCTCTTTACCAAGAACCGTGCCAAGTGCCCTTTCTTTCGTTATCACAACGACCCTATAAGGCACTGTATCCCATTTTACCGACGAGAAAACTTCAGCCAGCGCAGTCCATAACCTGCCCCAAACCCTAGGGCCTCAGTCCCGAGACCGCGCGCTCTCAGAGACAAACCACCCGGCCGTTCCCAGGAAACCAGGCTCGTCACACCCCCTGGTCGGAACCCCCACTTCCGCTCCTGCGCGCTGAGGCTCCGGCGGACCGCTGGCGGACATGGCCGCTTCCCGCTTCCCCCCAGCGACGCTAACATTAAAGCAGGTGAGGTTCTCTGCCTTCCAGAGCGGCTTACCTGGGTCTCAGCGCCGGGATTCTCCATCTACCCTCCATCCAACGGGGCGAGCTCCGGCATCCTGACGCAGCGCGCGCCTTCTGATATTAGCCCGACGCCTGCGGGGCGGGGCTTCGCGCCGCGGAGGCCTGTGGGAGGCAAGAGCCGCTTACTCGGTTTGGTGTGGTCGCGTCAGGTGCGCTAGGTGCTTGATTTCCTCAAGTACCGGCGCCCCTGCTGTTACTCAGTGCAGCTGTCAGTTGCACTGAGCTGTGGCAAACGGCAAATGAGATTACCAAAGATTTGAACAGCTTAATTTAGAAGAAGTGCTGTCGTCAACGTGTGTGTGTGTGTGTGTGTGTAGACAGAGTCTCACTCTGTCGCCCAGGCTGTAGTGCAGTGGCCACATCTCCGCTCACTGCAACTTCCGCCTCCCAGGTTCAAGCGAGTCTCCTGCCTTAGCCTCCTGAGTAGCTGGAATTACAGGCGCGCGCCACCACGCCCAGCTAATTTTTGTCTTTTTAGTAGAGATGGGAGTTTCACCATGTTGGTTAGGCTGGTCTCAAACTCCTGACCTCGTGATCTGCCCGCCTCGGCCTCCCAAAGTGCTGGGGTTACAGGCATGAGCCACCGCGCCTGGCCGATTTTTTAATTGTTCTTAGGTTTCACAGAGGAGTAAGCAAAAAGATCAGATGAACCTCGTGATGCTTTCTTTAAAACATGTTTTTGAGACAGGGCCTCACTCTCGCCCAGGCTGAGTGCAGTGGAGCAATCAAGGCTTACCGCAGCTTACACCTGCTGGGCTCAGGTGATCCTCCCATCTTGGTCTCCTGAAGTCCTGGGATTACAGGCCTGAGCCACTGCACCTGGCAAAAAAAAAAAAAAAAAAAAAAGTCTTTGCTTTTTTTTTTAATTGACCAATGAGAAGGAGTCTGGTTACAGCTTGTTTGCTGAAATAGAACCTTCCAGGCTGGCGATTGTGCAGTAGGAATTGATATTTCTCCTCTCTTTTACAGTTCATAAGAAGGCAACAAGTTCTTCTCCTCTACAGAAGGATTTTGCAAACAATTCGGCAAGTTCCAAATGATTCTGATCGCAAATACCTGAAAGATTGGGCAAGGGAAGAATTCAAAAGAAACAAAAGTGCCACCGAAGAGGTGAGAACAAAATCATGGTGAGGACAGACCCTAATTCTTTTAATTGTTCAGTGAATTTTTTTTTTAAATTTAGCAGACATCTTGGAATATAATGCCACTGAGCTGGCATAGCTTGATCATTGCTTGTAATGTTACCGATTTTAAATGATATTTTAAAATTTGATATAGCTGTATCTGTACTCTTCAACATCATCACTGGACTTTTATATTATGTATTATATATGTGGAACTCTTTTGGCTTTCCTAAAAGGCAGCAGTTCCAATACCTAGTATTGGTTCTTGATTTTAACAAATAATATGGTATAGCTATACCTTGTTTAACCAGGTAAAACAGTAACCAGATTTCACTTTATTCTACAGGACACAATCCGGATGATGATTACACAAGGCAATATGCAGCTCAAAGAGTTAGAAAAAACACTTACTTTAGCAAAATCTTAACAACTATAGCATTATTCTCAAGAATTTTCAAAGTCTCCATGTGTTTTGTTGCATTTAGGATTAAAGATGGACAGCACAAAGCCCAGTCTTACTATTTGTATGTACAGTATTTGCTGCATTTTGGAAATGTTTATGGATGTCTCCGCAGTTTTTAAAAGAAGCAAAAACCGGCCTGGCGCGGTGGCTCAGGCCTGTAATCCCAGCACTTTGGGAGGCCGAGGCGGGTGGATCACGAGGTCAAGAGATCGAGACCATCCTGGTCAACATGGTGAAACTCCGTCTCTACTAAAAATACAAAAATTAGCTGGGCATGGTGGCGCATGCCTGTAATCCCAGCTACACAGGAGGCTGAGGCAGGAGAATTGCCTGAACCCAGGAGGCGGAGGTTGTGGTGAGCCGAGATCGCGCCATTGCACTCCAGCCTGGGCAACAAGAGTGAAACTCCGTCTCAAAAAAAAAAAAAAAAAAACAACGGCCGGGCGCGGTGGCTCAAGCTTGTAATCCCAGCACTTTGGGAGGCCGAGGCGGGTGGATCACGAGGTCAAGAGATCGAGACCATCCTGGTCGACATGGTGAAACCCCGTCTCTACTAAAAATACAAAAAATTAGCTGGGCATGGTGGCACGTGCCTGTAATCCCAGCTACTCAGGAGGCTGAGGCAGGAGAATTGCCTGAACCCAGGAGGCGGAGGTTGCGGTGAGCCGAGATCGCGCCATTGCACTCCAGCCTGGGTAACAAGAGCGAAACTCTGTCTCAAAAAAAAACAAAAAACAAAAAACAAAAAAAAAACAACAACAAAAAAAAAACAAAACAAAACAAAAAAAGAAGCAAAAACCACTAACAAATGGCCAGTTAGTACATAAAAAGATGCTGGACATAATCATTAGGGAAGTGTAAATCAAAACTAAGAGGCGGGGTGCAGTAGTTCACGCTTGCAATCTCAGTACTTTACAAGGCCAAGGTAGGTGGATCACTGGAGGTCAGGAGTTAGAGACCAGCCTGGCCAACATGGTGAAACCTTATCTCTACTAAAAAGTACAAAAATTAGCGTTGCGTGGTGATGCATGCCTATAGTCCCAGCTACTCGGGAGGCTAAGGCAGGAGAATCACTTGAACGCAGGAAGCAGAGGTTACAGTGAGCTGAGATCATGCCATTGCACTTCAGCCTGGGTGACAGAGTGAGATTCCATCTCCAAAAAAAAAAAAAAGAAAACTCACAACTATGAATTTATCACTTCATTCACTAGAATGGCTGTAATAAAAAAGAAAAATAATAACAAGTGTTGAAGATGTGCAGAAATTGGAACCCTTATACATTGCTGGTGGGAATGTAAAATGGTGCAGCCACTTCAGGAAACAGACTGTCAGTTCCTCAAAAGATGAAACAGAGCTGCTGTATGATTTAGCAATTCTACCTCTAGGCCCATAACCATTAATTGGCAGTAAAAAGAAACAAAGGACTGATATATGCTAATCATGGATAAACCTTAAAAACATTAAGTGAAAGAAGCCAGTCACAAAAGATCATGATTCCATTTAAACGAAATGTCCAGAATAGGCGGAAAGATTAGTGGTTGCCTAGGCTGGCTGTAGGTAGAATGGAGTAACTGCTAATGGGTGTAGGGTTTCTTTTCAGGGTGATGAAAATATCCTACAGTTAGCTTATGGTGTAGGTTGCACAACTCTGAATATACTCAAATCCACTGAATTGTACATTTTAAATATTATATAAATTGTATCTCAATAAAGCTTTTATAAAAAACTCTTGGCCGGGCACGGTGGCTCACGCCTGTAATCCCAGCACTTTGGGAGGCCGCGGCGGGTGGATCACGAGGTCAAGAGATCGAGACCATTCTGGTCAACATGGTGAAACCCCGTCTCTACTAAAAATACAAAAAAATTAGCTGGGCATGGTGGCACGTGCCTATAATCCCAGCTACTCAGGAGGCTGAGGCAGGAGAATTGCCTGAACCCAGGAGGTGGAGGTTGCGGTGAGCCGAGATCGCGCCATTGCACTCCATCCTGGGTAACAAGAGCAAAACTCCGTCTCAAAAACAAACAAACAACAACTCTTAGATGTAGGACTGAGAGTATACTGACATTAGGAGATACCCTGGAACTTTGTTGCAAAATCCTGTATTATCCCTGAGGGTTGCTCAGATAATGTTCTTCACATGTGTCATGGTTTGACAGAGGACTTGTCAAAAAGATCACCACTGGGAATCTAGATCCCAGTTGGGAAGGGAAGGAGCAGCTTAATGAGCACATTGAAGCACTTACCAGAAAGAAAAGGGAAGACTTCTGGATGAAACCTCTGTGAGTACCTTAACATTCACATGGAAGAAGTAAAAAAAATTAAAATTCTGGGTGCAGGGCCGGGTGCGGTGGCTCAAGCCTGTAATCCTAGCACTTTGGGAGGCCGAGGCGGGTGGATCACAAGGTCGAGAGATCGAGACCATCCTGGTCAACATGGTGAAACCCCGTCTCTACTAAAAATACAAAAAATTAGTTGGGCATAGTGGTGCGTGCCTGTAATCCCAGCTACTCAGGAGGCTGAGGCAGGAGAATTGCCTGAACCCAGGAGGCGGAGGTTGCGGTGAGCCGAGATCGCGCCATTGCACTCCAGCCTGGGTAACAAGAGTGAAACTCCGTCTAAAAAAAAAAAAAAAAAAAAAAAAAAATTCTGGGTGCAGTTCTCAAAGGACAGGAAAAAAACAGAATTTGAAGAATATGTCAGAGATAAATACATTACAACCAAAGTTGACCTTGGGGCACTTTTGAAGGAGACCTAATTTATAATTCAGTGAAAGATGTGAAAGTGAAAGCTGGTGGAAGATGCTGGAATCATTCAGTTCTGAATACTGAAGTCTTCTGTTCATCAACAGAACAGCGCTAAGAAGTTAATTTAAGAATCTGACCAGCACCTGAAAGATATAGACATCATTTTGCAGAATGATAAATGGTGTCCAGCACTGGACTGCGCCTGAGGAGAGGCATAAACTCAATGTGGATATTGATGACCCGGGCTATCACACTCCACCTCTACTACCTTCCTGAGCTTCAGAGCCCACAAGACAATAATTCTGAATACTGTTCTATGGGAGTAATCTACTAATTCAAAATGCTTGCCTGAGCCAATTTTCAGTTGTTTATGTAGATAAGTATTAGTAAACTTACTGCAAAATGATCTGACAAACAGGAGGAGCATTTGTGATGCTTCTGAACAGAGAACACTTTGGAAGTATTTTTCTTTGTGTGACATGATCGATATACTCAAATGCAGGCTATCTAGTAAATCTAAAATCTTAAAACTCAAATCATCCTTTTATGGGTGTGGAATTAGTGATTTAATGATGCTCTTCCTAACGGTGTGCATGGAAAGGTTTTTGTTAAAGAGTGTATGTGGTTTGCATTTGCAAGATGCAGATAGCACAGATTCCAAGAAAACCTAGTTTTCTGTTTTTTTTTTTTTTTTTTTTTTTTTTTTTTTTTTTTTTGAGACGGAGTTTCGCTCTTCTTACCCAGGCTGGAGTGCAATGGCACGATCTCGGCTCACCGCAACCTCCGCCTCCTGGGTTCAGGCAATTCTCCTGCCTCAGCCTCCTGAGTAGCCGGGATTACAGGCACGTGCCACCATGCCCAGCTAATTTTTTGTATTTTTAGTAGAGACGGGGTTTCACCATGTTGACCAGGATGGTCTCGATCTCTCGACCTCGTGATCCACCCGCCTCGGCCTCCCAAAGTGCTGGGATTACAGGCTTGAGCCACCGCGCCCGGCTTCCTGTTTGTTTTAAAGCAGGTAAGTCTGGCTGTGGTGGCTTAGCTGCTTTGGGAGGCTGAAGTGGGAGGATCGCTTGAATCCAGGAGTTCTTTAACAGCCTGAGCAACATAGTGGGACCCTGCCTCTATAAAACATTAAAAAATTAGCTGGGCAAGATGGCATGTGCCTGTAATTCCAGCTACTCAGGAGGCTGAGGTGGAAGGATTGCATTTAGCCCAAGACGTTGAGGCTGCAGCGAGCCATGAACATGCCACTGCACTTCAGCCTAGGAACAAAGCAAGACCCTCCCTCCCCCCACACAAAAAAACTAAAACACTGAAAACTGAATAATCTGTCAGAGGTGGAAATTACTGGATGTGCTTTTACCTTCATCTCTAAAGAACAATTTAATTTGTTCACTTACATGCTTTGTTTATCTCCTCTGAATTGTAGACCAATCTTGTTGGTTAACCTAAGGGGATTTATTTAGCAATTTATTCTCAGGTATGGAGACACGGTCATTATGAAGTTGGTCTGAATTGAACTGCCAGTGATTTTTATGGAGGAATGAAAAGACAAAAAAGGGTGAAACACACTTTATTCATCATGAAGCAACATTTATCGGTACTCTGGATTAGACAACAAATTACTTTCTAGATGTTTCTTGAAAATTGTACTTCTGTTTGAATGTTAAACTTCTGTTCCTAAAGTTTAAGATGTTTGAATGTCAGTTTATATATTTGAACCACAATAAATCGATCCTCTTATATTAAAAATTTAAATACAGAAGCTTTGTAGCATAAGAAGTAGCTAAAGCTATTTATTATATAAATATTAACTGCCCATGTTATTCCCCCCTTTTAAAATGTGCCATCAGGGCCTGGCGTGGTGGCTCATGCCTGCAGTCCCAGCATTTTGGGAGGCCGAGGTGGGTGGATCATGAGATCAAGAGATCGAGACCATCCTGGTCAACATGGTGAAACCCCGTCTTTACTAAAAATACAAAATTAGCTGGGCATGGTGGCACCTGCCTGTAATTCCAGCTACTCAGGAAGGCTGCCTCAGTTTGAACCTGACAGGCAGAGGTTGCAGTGAGCCAAGATCACACCACTGCACTCCAGCCTGGATGGGGTCCACAGTGAGACTCCATCTCAAAAAAAAAAAAAAAAAAAAAAAAAGTAAAAATGTGCCATCAAGTTAAAAGTGTTAAATTCATGGTACAAGCATTACCATAGATGTGCCTGCAAGGAACACAGATGACTTTTTTTTGAGACATGGTCTCTGTCACACAGTTGGAGTGTGGTGGCTTGAACATGGCTCATTGCAGCCTCAACCTCCCAGGCTCAACCGATCGACCACAGGCATGTACCACCATGTCTGGCTAATTTTTTTAATTTTTTTTTTGTAGAAGAGGGGAATCTCACTTTGTTGTCAGGCTAGTCTCAATCTCCTGGACTCAAGCAATCCACCTGCCTCAGTGCCCAAAGTGCTGGGATTACAGGTGTGAGCTTTTTTTTTTTATTCTTTTTCATATGGAGTCTCCCTCTGTCGACAGGCTGGAGTATGCAGTGGCATGATCTCAGCTCACTGCAACCTCTGCCTCCTGGGTTCAAGAGATTCTCCTGCCTCAACCTCCCAAGCAGCTGGGATTATAGGTGCACGCCACCACATCCGGCTAATTTTTGCAATT